TCCACGGCCCGGTACCGGTCCGCGGCCCGGTGGTTGGGGACCCCTGGTTTAGATCACAACAAGCTGTAGAAACTTGTATGGTGATCAAGAAGCAACAATTAGAACTAGACATGGAACTGATTAGTTCAAAATAGGGAAAGGAGTACAACATAGCTGTATATATTGTTGTCCTACTTATTTAATTATATGCAGAGTACATGGTGCAGAAAGCTGTGTTGACTGAATCACAAGAAATAATTAATATTGCTGGAAGAAATATCAACGACCTCAGATATGCAGATGGTATCACTCTTATGGCAGAAAATGAAGAGAAACTAAAGAGTCTCTTGATAAGAATGAAAGAGGAGCATGCAAAAGTGGCTTGAAACTCAACATTTTAATAAAAACTAAAATCATGGCATCTAGTCCCATCATTTCCTAGCAAATAGAAGGGGAAGAAATGACGCAGTGATAGATTTTATTTTTGGGGGCTCCAAGATCATTGCAAATAGCGACTTCACCCATGAAATTAAAAGACACTGATCCTTGACAACAAATGCCAATATAGTCATGACCAGCAGTCCCCAATCTTTTTTGGCAGCAGAAACTGGTTTCAGAGAAGACATGTACATGCATGACATAGCAAAAGTGAATCAGACATAGGCTTGCCTTTTTGGCTTCTAGTGATGTTTCTGGTTTTATACAGTTCAGCACCACTCTGTTAATTGCTATCGCTATCCATGAATCAAAGATTACTCTCTTTCCTCTTGAGGTCCAATGTATACATTGTTAGCAGAATTGCAAAGTTTATAGATGAGGCAATTCAGGTAAGAATCCATTATATTGAACAGATCAGGATATTGTGTATTATTTGAACACTGACTTTGTATTTAGCACATATATATTTTATTCTATTTCTTTTTGCCTATTTCATCTTAGAAAATATTGTATTTTACCATTGATTAGCTTGACAACTAAGTAATTAAATAATAAACTATATATATATCAATGCATTATTTTAGAAAGCATATTTTAAAAATGATAGCATAAAATCATTTTAAATAAATAAATAAATAAATAAATAAATAATCTGCTTAATTTATGTACAAACAAATAAAAGAGGTACTTTTAATAAATGTAATCTTACCTATTTTTATCACTTGTTATTAATAAAATAAGTAAAACATTCATACCTTATGATTAAAGTACTTCTCAAATTTTAATCTTGCCAATTCAACACATTGGGACCAGTTTCTTGGTCTTCTACCCAGGCACTTAATCACTTGGAAAGAGCCTTCTAAACTTTCCCCAGATTTTATTCTCTAGAAAACATAAAAACAAGCCTTGAACATAGGTCACAAATTACATGTAATTAAAACAAATGTATTTCCACAGTATATGTTAATACAAAATTATAATCAGTAATAAACATGCAAGATAATAACCAAACCTCTGCAGAGCTTTTTGGGAAAATACAAATATGTGCTACAGATTTAATTATATTAAACAATTAATATTCAGTCAAATATGTAAAACTTATTACATAAAATTTACTTATTAAATGGCAAACACAGTAATTCCACATGTAATTTCTATCATAATTTAGAATATCACCTGCAACACTTCTTCTGCTGATGGATAGGTTTGCCAGAACTTGTTAAACAGGGAAGGCTTATGTGAAAAAGCACTTTCAAACTAAAAAAAAATAAAAAATCAAATGTTATAAGAAAATACTACTGCATATTACCCATTTTCTTGATAGAAAAAGAAACCAGGATTGCAATTCATTTCTACTTTTTCTTCCTTTCAATGGAACTCGTCTAATTTGAATGTATCATCCTCATGCTAAAATTTACCTTGTCTCTTGCCCACTGTATTGTGTGTTCAGTAGCAGCTGGAAAAGACTTTATTGTGCAAAATGGTATTTCTTCTTCAGGTGGATCTCGCTGAATATAAAAAAAAGTACACACAAAAAAGATTGTATAGACACAGATACAAATACACTATGATTTTGTATTTCATCTCTAATTCAGCCTGGATTAAATGGAGTTAATTTTTAAATATATACATACAGGAGCCAATTTTCTTTCAAATCAATATACTGTTTCACATTGGACGTTAAGAGTTATTTCAATAAGATAAAATTAAAACAGTGACAGTGAGAACAATCAATAAGTGGAAAAGCTTGCCTCCAGAATTTGTGGGTATTCTATACTGGATGAATTCAAGAAAAGATTGGAGAAGCCATTTTTCTGGAATGGTAAAGATTCTCTTGAGTGGGGGATGGACTAGAACAGCGGTTGCCAACTGGTGGGCCGTGAGAAAATTTTGGTGAGCTGCAGAGAAATCTCACCCCCAGAGCACCCCCCAAAGCAATTAATCCAGACTGCACAGAAACACAAGGCTACGCAGCCCACATGGCCCACAGGAACCCTCCCCGCCCATTCACTCCTTACATGGCAAACTTGCCTGCTAAATTGCTATTTTTCCTTTTTCTGACCATCATCTATTCTGCTGTGCTGGGAGATTTAGATTAGCTAGGAAGCAGGAAATGGTTGTATTTCTTACTTTCTAGCTAGTCTTTAGATCTTTGGTTCTGCTTTTAAGCACAGCCAAACCTCCCTTAGGACTGAAGGTTCTATTATTCAGTGCAGACTCACGGCAAGCAAATTTTAAAGACTGAGCTAGCCAATGGCAGATAGATAGATCACTAAATGACTCTGTGAGCAACTCAATCTGCCTGCCTGCTTTGCCTGATTTTGGGTAAAAGTTGCTCTTTTTTTATTAAAATTTCAATATTTATATAAATATTTATAATATTTACATACAAGCCATGCCCAGCCAGTCACATGACCACCAAGCCACACCCACAAATAAGGCCATGCCCATAGAACCGGTTAGTGGTCCCTGGGATTTAAAATTATGAGTTTGGTGGTCCCTGAAGTCCAAAAGAGACCCATGGACTAGAACAGTGGTCCCCAACCTTTTTTGTACCAGGGACCGGTTTCAAGCAGAA